GGTGCAGCCAGGAATCCGAGGTCAAAGTCCAGACGAACATACGAACGAACGAACGTATGAACCTACGAACGAACGAACGGTCATCCAATCCTGGAGCATATTAAGGACGCTCGATCGAGCGCGTAATCCTGCCGTTTAACGTGTAAACTTGTCTCTTCCCGTGAAATTTTCAAAAATTCGCAGACGGTGGCCATGTCGGAGGCGTGCGAAGCGTATTCTCGTTTGGTACGCACGTTAACGATGGGATCCGCTCTACTCGGCCATTAACCCGCGTGGTAAACCGGATAAAATGCGAGTACGCTACTCGTATACAAAGAGGTGGGGTAGGGGAGGGATATCTTTGTCTCTTTCTCTCCTAAACGTTTCGAAGAGTGGCCGTATTAAACGTGTCACCTACGCCAACTGCATTTTTGCGTGCACCATAATATCGTTCGACCACCAACCGTGAGGAGGATCCTCCCTCGCTTCTCCGTTTTCTTCTCTCTTATGCTTCTTCTGTTGTTCTTCTATTGTTCTCTATCAGTTTTTTTACTGTGTATATGATGGGATATATATATATCGCGTCGATAGGATCTAAATACGGGGCGGGGGGGGGAGGGGGTTCTTGATGGTTCGATCAGAAATTTTTATCATCGTGATATTACCAACTATGTTCTTTTTTTTCTAGAATATAATTATTATTTTTTGAATAAATATTCGTTTGTTTTTTTTTTTCTAACTTCTACATTTATTTACTTAATTGTTTTTTTATTATTAATTTATTTTATAAGACAATTCTACACAATTTGTTACGTTTAAATTTCAATATTTCGTAGAGTTTTTAATAATAATTATTTCGCAAACGAATCGAATTTTGTGTAACAATGTAAATAGTTGTAATCTTTAATATTTAGAGAAATATAAATATGTAATGTAAAGAAAAGAAATAAAAGAGTATCGGATAGTTTCTAATCACTAGGAGGATCCGAAACCGATCGGTACTTTGCGGATTTTCAGGCAAACGAGGCATAACCACGAAATCGCGGTCGTGTCTCGTTCGATGAAAATCGCTTGCTCGTACAACGCGACCGCGGTTTTCGAGGTTGTGTCGCGTGTTTCGCGTGTTTCGAGGTGTAATGCCGAATTGATGCCAGCCGAAATCCGTGTAGATGGTATCGTTCCACGAGTTGCCATAGTCGAGCCCCTTTCATACACACACACACACACACACCACTCTAGTTCAAATGCGTTACAAATTTTCCATCGTGTTCGATGATCATCTCGCTTGGCGCTTTCTCTTCTCGCCCTTTAACTGAACTATGTTCATTTCGATCTTTATATGGATCAATCGTTACAATATATTACATATTTATATATATGTTTTTCTCTGTTACTGTTACTATTTCACTTTGTTAAATCCTTTAATTCGTAAAGTGACCAGCTTAACTCTGAAATAATTATACTGGCCTGTATAAATGTATATGATGCTAGAATAACATATTTTAACTAATTTAAGTACGACATTTTTATATATACAGTGAGTCATAGAAGTATTCGAACCCAATCCTATTGTAAATTTGAAATGCAAAACTTCCAAAAATCCTTATATACAAAAAGTTATTTTAAAATTATATAAAATTGATAGCAAAAAGAAAGAACATTTGAACAAAATTGATCTTACAAGAATATTTGCATCTTATTCCTAGAATAAGCATATATATTATAAGATCAATTTTTCTATCAATTCCAAATGATTAAATATAAAGTACAGAAAAATATATATATATAAGAAAAACTCCTTTCGTATTTGTTACATAAAAATAATAATTAACAAAAAGAAAAATCAAATGAAATAAATAAGATCATATTATAATAATTAAACGATTATAAACAAAAGTAGATGATCATTTGTAAGTATTTCCATAGAGAAGATTATAAAAGATTTTTCCCGATAATAATTATCGATGAATATTATTTGATATGATAGAAGGTATGATAAACTCGTAGATGACGTCGACAGAGTAACACGGAAGACGAACTAATCGTCGCGACACGGAGCTAGCTAGTAGCTCCCCGATGCTCAACGTTACGTCACAACGGTCGAGCGGGCTTGGCCCAGGGTTCTGAGGATGACACGATGGTCCATGGTTTAGCTTGTCCTTTGATGCATGATATTGCAGAGTCGGTGCCGCACGGTTCGGCAAACATGTCATGAGCAAGCCGAAACTGTTAGGATTCATAGTTATCTCGACCGATCGTGCCCGTCGTTGGACATTCGCCCTATCGTCCACGCACGTCCCTCTACTATCCTGTAATATCCTGCTAATACAGATCGTCCGTTTACACGTACTGCGTATTCCAGTTTCTGAATCCGTTCACGACGACGACGACGATGAGGACGAGGATGAGGACGAAGACACCCTCTGTCTTTGAAATACTCCTATATATTATATCTCTCTACCCGCTTATATGCGTTTATCTTACATTTCAATTACATTTACCTAACTATTATACCGAGATTTACATGAAATCTTCTGTTAAAACACAGGTGATTTTATATAATTCCATGTTTCTTTCGTTTTCAATTAACAAGTTAAACGGTAGCTACGTTTATCATGGATAATTCGTATTAGATCATTTTGTATTATGAATTTTTATCGATTGGTAGAAATGTTATATATTATAATTGATATATAAATAATGTTTTCGTTGAAAAGTTAAAAGATTTGAGAGTTATATTCGTTATTTTAATACATTGCGGATCGGTCACGAGTTAACTCGTGTTAAAAAAGAAAAAGAACAGAAAAAGAAATAAGAAAAATAATCTATATATTCTATTTTCTTTAAGAAATATTAAGAGTTGAATAATTATTAAAATTTATTAAAATTTATTTATATTGTTTTACTTCTCCGCCGGCCACATTAGGTAAATTTTTAGAAAAGTTGCCGGTCCGCAATGTGTTAAAATAAAGTTAATAAATTTATAAATTAAATAGAATTTTGTATACGATATTGTTCGATACACCAAAATACCATTTTTATTGTCGTTTGATCAAGTGAAACGGATAAAAAAAGCACCGGCGTCGACCTGTTCAAGAATTGGGGATGAGTTTGGAACATTAAGAAAGAAAGTTTTGTTTTTTTTTTCAGTGAGAATAACTATTATTTTAACTTTCAAATAAATGAATTCTCTAATAAGAAAAATTCTGTATATTATGTATGTATAATATACTATTAACAAGTTTTTTATTAGATATTCTTTAGAAGCTTTTTATTCCATCTAATGTAATCATTTTCCTATTTATTTTCTCTCTCTCCCTCTCTCTTCTTCTCTTCCTATGAAAATGCTTATTATCTTATTACTCTATTGATTATTCTAGGATTTATTTCCCATTTTTATCTCGATGCAAATACTATAATAAACAACGTAGAAATATCCATTTTCGCAACACGCAAGATTTTATTGTAACTTTGACTAATGCAGATTGATCCGATACGATATCTGTTCTTCGACAAGGAAGAAGAGGTAATAAAAAAAAATGAATTGTAAAGGGACGGGTGGGGGGTGGTTGGGGGGATGGGGGTAGGATGTTAGCCGCCGTTTCGTAATGTCGGATTTCGAAATGCAAATCCAAAGGCGATCCTCGTAAATCTTTTGAAAGACGCGCGTACATAAATACATATATACACGCGAATACACATACATAGGACTTACATACACGTACGTGATATATACATAGAGAGACGGTATTGGTAAGTATATAAAAAAAAAAAAACCGTAACACATGTACAGGGTGAGCCAGGAGGATAACCCTAAATTCAAGGAGTTTATTATATACGTAAATATAATGAACAAAATAAACTCAAATATTGTTATATCCGATTTATTATAATTATTTATAATATAATTATAATATCATAAGAATATTAATTATAATATAATTATAATATTACATATTAATATATAAATAATAATATAATTATAATATCATATAATTATAATATAAGAAAATTAGTTCTTATCATCATTGCGTTGTTTTAATAAAGATTCGAAAACATCATCATTTATCTAATAACATTTTCTGCTTCGTTTAAGAAGTGCGCATGTTGTTCTCTTCTGATTGTTTCGTTGCTTAAAAAAAGAAAATTAAAATTAACAATAACAATCGGATAATAACATTTTTGAGTTTTTTTTTTTTCTTTTTTCTTCAAATTATTTTTACGCGTAGTTTTTCTAGAAATTTGAGGTGTTCCTCTCGACTCTCAACCTATATATATACAGATACATATACATATATTATATATAAGAAGAAAGCATTAATAACGGATGAAGCGAGTCTTGACTATGGCAACCCCATAATGTTTATCTCGTTGCTTATTCCGCTTACGTAGCCGACAAACAGAGCGCGGAAAACGTGCGTGCGTGTATCCCTGCCGTTCGGATTCTTAACGCGATCGCGGTTTTGATTTATAAAGACGCATTGCAAATTTATATTCGACATTAATTTTGCATCGACTGAGAAACCGATACATATGCGTATCTCGCGAATCTTTCTTCTTATTCTTCTTCTTCTTCTTCTTCTTCGTTTTATTTTTTTATTCATTTGTTTTTTGCGTCTCGTTTAACGTGACCCTTGAATATTGCCAATCTCTGGTACACGATTCTTTTGTATTAACATTTTGTTATTTCTTCTCTTGTTATTCGTATCGAGTCAGGTGATCTTAATCATGAAATTAAATTGTGGAAAATCATTTTGAAATTTTTAATCAAGACGGAACCCTAATCATTATGAAATACTGAATATATATTAGAAGATTTTCTAAAATGAATCTCTCTCTTTTATATTTAATAAGAAAATAAAAAGTTATTATATATCTATAATAAGTATAACAAAATTTTGGATAATAAGAGCTTGAATGAAATTAATTACTAGTAGTAATTATAAATATATATGTATAGTATATCTTGAAATTAGATATAAGATTGATAATTATATCAGAAATTATTGTTTTTGTTACAGAAAAGCCAGGCTTCCAGTCACCCTATGGCTCTACGATGGACAACGGAATGGTAAGCGGATTATTAAGTATTAAAAAAAATTTGTCCCTTTTTTTTGACACGTTGAATTCCATGGAAGTCACTGGTGATTGGCAAAACTAGGATTATTAGAAATACATAATTCGAGTAAATTTCGATACTTTTAGATCTTTTAATATTATCATCGTTATTACGATAGTATGAAGAAAATAAGCTCTATTAGAATTTAATCGATGAATAATTTTTTAAGTTATGGCATGTATGTTCATATATGTTATAACATTTTAAGTTCGGTACATGTATGGCTTTCCAGGATTCATAACTTTTATAATTTTTACAATATTTAGATAATTCTGCAACAAAAATACGCTCAACGCAATAAAAGGAAGATCAATTTTGTTGAATAGTCACAAATATTTTAATTGTAATTTTTTCTTATTCAATGTGGAAGAAGAAGAAGAAGAAGAAAGCAAGGACAGATTTAAATAAAAGAAAATTGTCTTCATTTCTTTCGTCCTTCGATCGAGTTAAAACGCGATTATGAATTACGTAAGAAATAGTGTAGCGTAATAATTATTACACTCGTAGGAGTAAAATTTATCGGAGAAAAAGTTACTCACGTTTCGTTTTCCCCTACCATTTTATACTTGGTCCCTTCTTCATTTCCTCTTCTCCTTAACCCCTCTATCTCTTCTTCCCTTCTTTGGGTTCCTCATCCCGCTCTCTCTCTCTATCTCTCTCTCTCTCTCTCTCTCTCTCTCTCTCTCTCTCTCTGGCACCCTCGACATAATCCGAAAACTTTAGACCGAGCGATATTTTCGAGAAGTGGTTCTCACGCCGACAAAACGTCTCCGCTTCTTACGAGAGACATTGTCTTCTTGTGTGTATGCTAATAGATATGTGTGTGTATTTACTTATATACGTACGATGACATACTTTATCCCAACGTTATAACGAGTTCCGTGGATGTTTAAGTACTTCATATAAGCTCTTACGTAAACCCTTTTCTTTGTAGTATATAGCTAAGTTATTTTGTTAGCACGATCGGCTTATCGTTGACATCATTAGTTATTTCTTTCTCTCATTACTTTTACCTTTGTCCTAAGTTCACTTCATTTACAATTTTTATTTTCTATGTTTTTGAAATTATTTCATCTCTCTATCTTTCTTCTTTTATTTTTATTTTATTTATTTTCGATTTTAATCAAACGAAATGCATCAATAATAATTAGTATGATAATATTAAGAAAAATTCTGACGTTAACGTTAATATACTATGTAATAGCATGAAAAGCCTCTGTCGAGATTTCAAATTTAGCGTTTGCCAAGAATAAAATATCGTTGATTAAAGACACAGCTAGGATTATTCCTACTTCTCTTATTTTGCATTCGTAATTCTATTATTTTTAGATCATGGATTAGATCATCGATTTTCATCGAAGAAATATTACATCGTGTTTTTCTTTTCTTCCATATATTTGTCTAAATAATAAAATAAAAATAACTTGAAGAATGAAGGTATGAGATATCTAGGAATAGAAAATTCGATGTAAAGTTACGATGGGAAAGGGTGAAATGAAAAAAGTACTAGATTGTTCGAAGGATTGGGAAGATATGGTGGTTGAGAATCGCCAAGCCCCGAGTTTAATATCACTTACGTTCCCTCTGATCCACAGCAGGGGCGATGTATCTATATTCCCTCTTTCCCTCTTACGTACTTTCTTTCCCCTTCACCCTTCTCCAGTCCCTTTTCCTTTTCCTTTTCCTTCGTACTCTCTCTCTCTCTCTCATACTAGCTCGTACATCTATACGCTCGGCCTCTTTCAGGTGAACGCATATAAAACAAAGCGAACGTGAAGAGTGGGTAAGGGGTTGTTAAGCTAGCTCTCATGAAAAGTTAGCCCGAAATACGGGTGAAGTCTTCATTGTAATTTCTTACTTCTCGCGACGTTGATTCTCCTTATCTATCTACGTATATACTTATATACAATATATAGGTGTATATAATACACATTAATATGTATAGAAATAAATTTCAAGATCTTTTCTGAGATACGAGATATTATAAAAAATATAATATACATATATTTA